CGCCCTGGCATAGTCCCACAAAGCGTGTCTGCGGATAGCAGAAATAACATGCTCTTGTGCCCCAACACAGTATCATGCAGCTCCCCCCTGCTAAACTCGCACTGCCGAAACTGGTCAAAGACTTAAAGAAGGACACACCAGCCCTACTGACTGGAAATGCCAATTCTCACAAGGTGAAGATTAGCAAGGTTCCATCCACATCAAGGGAGGGCAAAATTACAAAGGCACCACTTGCATCCACTAGCAAGCCTGGCAACACAAAAAAGGCTGTCCAGGTACCGACGAAGCCTAATGTTGCTAATGATGCAAAGGACTGCAAGAAGCCGAAGGCAAAACCTAAGTCTGAGGGTAGTCGGTCTAACTCTCTCATCCTCTTTAACGTACCTGTGAGCACGGATAGCTTGCTCGAACAACGGGCCCTGTTTGATCAGGAACAGTGGTCCAACCTGTGCGGCAAACTAGGTCTGAACATTAGTTCAGCAAAACTGTGCAGACTGTACAGGGGTGTCCACACGCCTCAGGGTAAGCCACCCCCATTACGGGTTACACTGGACTCTGCCGAAGAGGCCGAAAAAGTACTGTTAATGGCTCAGGTACTAGCCCTGGACAGAAGTTCTAACATAAGAGCGCGGCAAGATAGACCATGGGCCGTCAGAAATATGGCGAGGGAGTCACCGGAACTGATGCCTTCCACCTCTATGGTGGTACACGGTGTTCCGGAGCTGGAAACCGGCACTGCTTGTGAAAAACACATGCACGACGTACAACAATGGAGATGGCTGTCATCTCAGATGGCCCCTGGCGCTTCTGGAGCCATCTCCATTTTCCGACTACCTCGTCCCGCTCATCTAACATTGATTAACTCTCCAAAGCTGCTGTGTGTCACATTCAACTCCCCGGAGCAGTTGTCCATATCACTTCAACGGTGGTATGAGACCAAGGGAAAAATTGGAGGACACATCCGATGCTGTGAAAGCAGACCCAGAAATATAAGGAGGCAGCAAACTGAGGCTTTAATACGACCCCAAGCTTCGGTGACACTAGAGCGATGCAGCTCTGAGAATAATAGTCTGTGTCTCCCAAGTGTCCTGCCTAAATCCATTGAAAAAAACTACAACGGGCCGGTTCTATCGGAATCGGCCAACTAGTTCCAACATCAAGTCCCCCACCAGCAGACGGTTTCACGTCAACTACCCCACAACACTCTGAGGTTGTTAGACTCACTGTCAGTTGCCTATATAGCAATGTGAGGGGGCTGAGAGGGAAAGTAGGTGAACTCCGAAATCTCCAAGCACACCTTCAACTGAAAATAATCATTCTTACTGAAACGTGGCTAAACCCCACTATCGCCGACAATGAAATCAGTATAGGTGATATGGTACTGGTCAGGAGAGACAGGGATAATAAGGAAGGAGGGGGAGTTGCTATATACTTTGATAGGCAACTTAAATGTGTGCGCGCAACGGACCCACCACTTATCGAACTCCCAGACTCCATATGGTGTCATTTCACCGTAGGCCACACCAAGCACTTACTGGGTGGCATCTACCGATCTCCCACCTGTGGGGCAGAGCACAATCAGCTACTGCTCAGCACTATCACAGGAATACGAGATTTGGGCTACGACCAAATCACCATAGCTGGAGATTTCAATGCTCCATCACTGAACCTTGGCTCCGGGTGTGCTAAGGGAAAATTTGGCCGAAACCTACTGCAAACTATTCGAAACACGGGACTGACTGAGAATGTTGGAGACGACACTAGGTGGGGCCCTAGTGGAAAGTCATCAAAACTAGATTATATTCTAACTAGTGACCAGCTACTCGTCGAAAAGGTCCAGATCATGACTCCTCTGGGAAGCAGTGACCATGCAGTCATAGGTTTCGATCTTGTCCTCCGTGAGCGTTTGCAATGGGATGTTACGCGACCATGTCTGTGCTACAGCAAGGCTGACTATGCTGAAATGCGGAGGCTCTTGTCCGACGCAGACTGGCCCTTAGCATGGGACGACCTATCTGTGGATGAACACTGGGAAGTGGTAAAAAAGATTATCCATGCAGCAATCTCGGATACCGTCCCTTTAGTCACAACACAGCCTAAGAGAAAGACGTCATGGTTGAAGAGAGGCACGCAACGTATTCTGCAAGCAAAGCGGAGGGCTTGGTTTACGTGGCGTGTATCTAAGAGTCAGACCGACCATGATGCATACCTCGAACTCAGGAACCGGTGTAATGCAAGAGTTAGGAGGGACAGAAGGTCATTCCAGGCTAACCTTGCTAAAAAACTCCTATCAAACCCTAAAAACTTGTACCGATTCATGTCGGAAAGAAAACCGACAAACCAAGGGGCATGCGCCTTAGTAGGCCCAAACGGTCAATATCTCACTAGTCTGGAGATGGCTGAAACATTCAGTTCAGCCTTCGCTAAACAGCTAAACAGCAATGTGGATATTACAGTTACGGACCAAAATGGTGGCACCACTATTTCAGAGGAGGAAGACCTAGCGACTACTCCCCAAATAAACCCCGCAATAGTACTAAGGAAGCTACAGCGACTCATACCTGGGAAGTCCCCAGGTTGTGATGACATCAGGCCATCTGTTCTGAAACAGTGCGCCGAGGCTCTCTGTAGACCCCTGTGCGACTTGTTCCAACACTCAATGGATTCGGGGACCCTGCCAAGGGAGTGGAAAAGAGCCATCCTTTCTCCAATCTTCAAGGGTGGGGACAGGCAAAACGCTGCTAGCTATAGACCAGTAGCTCTACTCCCAGTGGTATCAAAAGTACTGGAAAGTATTATTGACGACCACATCAGGGAATATTTCGATAGGACTAATATACTGCATGAAGCCCAACATGGTTTCAGAAAAGGCAGATCCTGCGTCACTAACCTACTGTCAGCTTGGGACGACTGGACATCATGCTGGGACTTGAACGTACCAGTCCATGTGGTCTTCCTAGACTTTGAGAAGGCATTTGACACTGTTCACCATGACCTTCTCCTACATAAAATAAGACAGGCAGGCATAGGTGAGCCACTTCTGTCATGGTTGAAGGACTACCTAGCCGACAGGCAATTTTGCACTAAGGTTAACCGAGTCCGATCATCTTGGCACAGATCGTCATCAGGAGTGTCGCAGGGTTCTATCCTAGGACCACTGATGTTTTTGATTTTCATCAATGATCTACCACGCCGTCTGAGCTGCCCGACTCTCCTGTACGCTGACGACGTAAAAATATGGAGGGCGATAAAGTGTCCGGAGGACTCAGATAGGCTACAGGAAGACCTAAACCTTCTGGAAGACTGGGCGGTGGCCAGTGGCATGACTTTCAACTTGAAAAAGTGCAAAGTAGTGAAGTTGCGCACCTGTAGACTGCAGAATGCAAGTTACACCCTGTGCAATGAAAGCTTGTCCTGCACAACGTCGGAACGCGACTTAGGTCTAGTTCTAACGGAAAAAATGGACACAAGCGTAAATTACACAGGGGATGTAGCGAGGGCATATGCGGTCATACACTTTACGCATAGACAGTTAGGTGCACTCACTCCTGAGCTCTTTCTAATGTTGTACAAAACATACGTCAGGCCACACCTTGAGGTGCATAATATTATTGCACCCCCAATGCTGAGAAGAGATGCCAACCTCTTGGAAAGAGTCCAACGACGGGCAACAAAAGGAGTGGTTGGTCTCCGAAACAAACCATATGATGAAAGGCTGAAGAAATTAGGCCTGTTCACACTTAGTTACCGTCGGCTTAGGGGGGATTTGATTACTGCCTACAAAATAACAAATGACCAGAATCACCCAAACAAAGGTGTTCTGCCATTGAGTAGGTATAGGCTTCCACGTGGAAATCCCAGAAGGATAGCTCACCAGAGGGCAAGGACCCGGGTGCGCTCCCACTTCTTTTCACTGCGGGTTTGTCGTCCCTGGAATTCCTTACCGGCAGATGTAGCTATGGCACCGTCTTTGGACGCCTTTAAGCGAAGGCTGGACAACCATGCAGCGATACAAGGACTGCATCCAAATGGCCTATCTCCTTAAAATCGCATTTTTTTTTTTTTTTTTTTTTTTTTTTTTTTTTTTTTACTTCTTTACATTCTCTCCCGTCTTACTCTCCTGACAACTTATTAATATTATAATTACTATTATTATTATTATTAACTATTACTGATATATATATTATTCTTCAAACTTCATGAGCTGACTGTTGTTACGTTTCCTATTTTCGTTTCTGTCTCTTAGTCTGAATAGCTTCACTAATTATATCTATTATTATTATTATTATATTATTATTATTATTACTATCTCTTTTCTCTTGTCGACAATACCGAAGGACTAACTGGCGAAAGGATCAACTCCAATCACAGTAGTAACAGTCTTAGCATACCTCATACTACAAACCACATATAATTAATCCCAGCACTACTCCCTTTGGAGTCAACCAAAGCTACGACAGTCGAGTGGCGGGACAAGCTACGCAGAAGTTTACCGAAGATCAAGAACCTATACCTCACAATCAAGAAGCGAGCACAAAGAAATCAAATTGGTTTATACTAGCTCGTAAAAACGATATTGGATATTGGATATTGGATAATAACTCATGAATATCAGATTTATAGCTTGATTGGTAATGCAGAGTCCTCCCGAACTTCTTCATAAGGTAAGAAATCGGCTGGACTTATTTATCACGCAATGTTGAATTCCGCTTGGAAATCCGATTTATGCCAACAGGAATAATGTGATGGAGATAGGATATTGAACGTTTGAAATGAATGGGCCCTTCGACAATTGCGTTACTGTGGGTCTTTAATAAAGGTCACGTATTCATACGAAATTATTACCCTGTTATCGTGACAAAAGCAAACTGATGGCTACTGCATAAAATCCACAGCAGTTTCTTGCATTAGAAATTTGATTCTAGTTGTTACGATCGTTCATATAATTCACAAGAAAGACTAGTTATAACCTTTGTAAAGTACCTTTAGTTTTTCGTGACATGCTACAGATGTCCGACTTATTGACTCATCATACAACATCAGATTCAGATGATATTGGGGATGAAGTTATTAGGACAATGTTTATGGTTGCTAATAAACTTGAAGAGTCTATGAGGCTGGCGTATAATTCGTGTGAATACACTCCTTACGATTCACCAGCTGAAAATTCCTCTCTGAATGGAGAGGCATTTTATCCCGAATCAGGTGAATTACCCGAATTAAAATATGAGTAAGTCCATCTAAAATACAATTTCAATTGTTTTTTATGAGTCTGTTAACGTTTCTTTATCCACAGGAAACTTTGATAGCCACTCGTATATATTTTGCTCTCTATAATAACTGTACTCATTTGATTTTTTATATTGGAAAAATTAAACAACTTGTGTGTGTCTGACTTGAAAAATTCACTATTGCTAAACTGTTTCCTTTGCAAATATTAAATGACTAGAAATTGTGCTAACATTTGTATTTACAAACTGACTCATTAGGCTTACTAAATAAAAATTGGAAGGCGTGTTTTTGTCAGCAACTTAATGCGAATTCCTCTGGTTAGATAACTGCTATACCTATTCCACTTTGAGGTGGTTCATATCTCCGTTTTGTGCTTAGTATTTTGCTAAATGCCACATATAGGACCAAGTTTGAATATATTTCAACCTGATGATCACGACGTAGTATGTGGGTGTTTTTAACCATCCCAACCGTTCGGAAGGGAAGTCTGCTCTGGTTTACATATACTGTTTATGTTTTCATCCTTATCATATTTGCAAATGTTTATACCCATAATCTCTTAGGCAAAGAAGCGTTAATATCCAATATCCTGATTACGAGCTAGTATAAACCAGTGATTTCTTTGAGCTCGCTTCTTGATTGTGAGGTAGAGGTTCCAGATCTTCGGTGAGCTTCTGCGTAGTAAGTCCCGACACTCGACTGCTTTAGCTCTGGTAGACTCCAGGAGGAGTGGTGCGGGGATTGGTCAAGATGTGGTTTGTAGTATGCAGTATGTTAGGACTGTATTGCTGCCGTGAATGGAGTTTGACCTAACTCCCGTTGGTCATTCGGTGTAGTCATAAAAGCAGAATAGTAATAATAATAATAATAGGTTGTAGTGTAGATAATATAGGTTGAGATAAGTGGAATAATAAAGGTGACCTAAGGAAAAGATAGAGTGAGAGAAGGCAGAATAGGTCGTGGGGATTTAGTTTGTACGCTTATCCATTGACAGTGTGGTTTTAAGTTTTATGAGGATAAGCCATTGAGACACAAACCTTGCATTTCTGCATGATTGTCTAGCTTCCGCTTAAAAATCTCCAGAGATGGCGCTGTAGTCACGGCCGCCGGTAAAGCGTTCCAGAGACGGCAAACACGAAGCGAAAAGAAATGTGATCGCACTCGAGTCTTTGGTCTCTGGTGTGCTATCCTTAGTGGGTTACCTCGTGGAAGCCTATAATCACTTAATGGCAGGATGCTTTTATTTGGGTGGGCCTGGTCATTTAGGATCTGGTAGACGGTGATGAGGTCTCCCCTGTGCCTACGGTAACTAAGTGTGAAAAGACCTAATTTCTTTAGTCGTTCCTCATATGATTTGTTGCGGAGGCCGATCACCCATTTTGTCGCTCGTCTCTGGACACTTTCTAGAATGTTAGCATCCCTTTTGAGTAGCGGAGGTGCAATGATATTATGCACCTCAAGGTGTGGCCTCACATATGCCTTATATAACCTTAAGAACAGTTCGGGAGTGAGAGCTCCCAGCTGCCTGTGCATAAAGTGTAATGTTGCGTAGGCTTTGGCGACGTCCCTCGAGTAATTTCCACTGGTGTCTAGCTTTTCTGTTAGAATAAGACCTAGATCACGCTCTGATGGAACACAACTCAAGTTCTGGCCACCAAGGGTGTAATTTACACTCTGTGACCTGCCGGAATGAAGTTGCACTACTTTGCACTTCTTTAGGTTGAAAGGCATTCCGTTAGCCAGAGCCCAGTTTCCCAGAGTTTGCAGGTCAGCCTGCAATCTATCTGAGTCTTCCGATGAGTTTATTGCTCTCCAAATCTTTACGTCGTCAGCGTAAAGAAGCGCAGAGCAGTTTAGTTGGGGGGGCAGGTCATTGATAAAAATCAAAAACATCAACGGCCCTAGGATAGAACCCTGAGGAACCCCTGATGCCGAGGTGTGCCAGGATGATCGGATGCGGTTGACTTTGGTGCAGAATTCTCTCTCGCCTAAGTAATCTTTCAGCCATGCGAGAAGTGCTCCAGAAACACCCGCCTTGCTTATTTTGTGAAGGAGCAGACCATGGTGAACTGTGTCGAATGCTTTCGCAAAGTCGAGAAAGATCACGTGGGCTGGTACCTTTTTGTCCCAGGATAGTGTCCAATCGTTCCAGGCTAGTAGAAGATTCGTCACGCAGGATCTTCCCCTCCTGAAACCGTGCTGTGCTTCGTGAAGAAGGTTAGTCCCATCGAAGTATTTTCTCATGTGGTCGTCAATGAGACTTTCCAATATCTTCGATACCACTGGAAGTAGAGCAACTGGTCTGTAACTGGTCACATTCTGCCGGTCACCACCCTTGAAGATAGGGGATAGGATTGCTCGTTTCCATTCACATGGAAGTTTCCCTACATCAAGGGAGTGTTGGAACAGATCACTTAGGGGTTGGCAGAGACTTTCTGAACACTGCTTCAGGACAGATGGTCTGATGTCATCACAACCTGAAGACTTTCCCGAAGCCAACCTTCCCAATTTTGCAAGTACCATAGCCGGGGTAATTTGAAATGTCCCCAGCAGGTTTTCGTGTGTTGGTTTTGCGATGTAATCTGGATGTTCTGTGGGGGTAATATCCTCGTTACTGTTTAGTTGCCTGTGAAAGGCTAGGCTGAATGTCTCTGCCATTTCAAGACTAGTAAGAGATTTCCCATCAGAACCCACTAGATTGCATGCTCCCTGGTTGGTCGGTTTTCTTTCGGACATAAACCTGTATAGGCTTTTGGGGTTCACGAGAAGCTTATTGGCGAGGTTTCCCTGAAATGTCCTTCTATCGCTCCGGACTCGTATGTTACATCGATTCCTGAGTTCAAGGTACACTTCATGTTCGGGTTGACTCTTCGATCGTCGCCACGCAAACCAGGCTTTTCGCTTCGCCTGCAGAAGGCGTTGTGTCCCTTTTTAGCCATGAACGTTTTGGTGAGACTAAAGGAACAGTGTCTGAGACCGCCTGGTGAATGATCTCCTTTACCACTCTCCAGTGTTCTTCTACTGTTAGCTCTGTCCATTTTTTAGGCCAATTTGCTTCAGACAGAAGTCTTCGCATTTTGGTGTAGTTGGCTTTGTTATAACACAGATAGGGCTGTGTATTGTCCCACTGTAAGCGCTCGCGGAGGACTATGTCGAATACTATGACCGCGTGGTCACTACTACCTATGGGAGTCGTGATCTGAACGTTTTCCACTAGTAGCTGGTCACTAGTGAGCACGTAATCCAGTCTAGAAGACTTCCCATCAGGGCCCCATCTAGTATCCATCTTGACATTTTCAGTGAATCCAGCCTTCCTGATGGTATGCAGCAGATTTCGATCAAATCTATCATGGGCTTTTCCCGACACCAAGTTAAGAGATGGGGCATTGAAGTCACCAGCTATGACAATTTGATCATAACCCATGTCTTGAGTTGCTGAGATTGTATTTAGCAGTACCTGGTTGTGGTCTGCTCCACATGAAGGTGATCGATAAATGCTGCCCACTAGATATTTGCAGTACCCAACGGTGAAGTGGCACCATATGGAGTCAGGGAGCTCTGTGAGGGGAGGGTCCATCGCGTGAACACATCTGAGCTGTTTGTCGACGTATATGGCGACTCCACCTCCTTCTTTCAGGTCCCTATCTCGCCTGACTAGGACCATATCATTTATACTGACTTCGCTGTCTGCCACCGTAGGGGTTAGCCAGGTTTCCGTCAGTATTATGATTTTGGAGTTCAGTTGTGATTGTAGGTGTCTAAGTTCAGCTATTTTGCCTCTTAGCCCTCTCACATTACTGTACAGGCAACTGGTAGTCAGTCTCACCACTTCCCCGTATTGGGGGGTAGTTGACTTGATATTGGCCATCGGTTGATGACAAACAACATAACTTAAACTGATATATCATGTCAACTTATCACTAATGACTACCTTAGATCTGTTTTCTGCAGCCATTGTAAAGACTAATTCGACAATGCATATGTATTCCGTGAAGTACCAAAGAACAATTGAGTGGCAGATTTCGACGTTAATTTAACTCAGAAGGATGTGCTAAATTGAAATAAAACGTGTTATTGTTGTTTTGTGTTAGTGACGTTTCATACACTGGATCATTGTGTAAAATTCGTGCACGTCATTTGTGTAAAATTTGTATGTTGTGATTCACTCTAACCCATAGCTGAATATTAACAGGTTTCTATGTTTCCATGATACATAAAAATTTAAACTATTATGTTGTTAGACTCCTATTGTCTGATTTAATTTAAAGACCCGGTACTTTTAAATAGGATTAAAAGGTGAAAGACAAGTACAAGCAAATTTTACTGATCCCCAGAGCTGTAAGCGATCCAAGTAGGTGTCAATGGATACGCATTATTTGAACCCCCCTCTACTAAATTATTCTATTAAGAGTAATGTGGGGGATTTGAATGATGTAGTAATCGGTCTAGTAGTGTTAAACATTAAGTTTTGTGGAAAATAATAGTTTTTTATCCAACAGTCTACCATCTTGGATTCTTTATATTAGTAGTTTATGGAAAACTGTATTTCTCCTTTGTCGCTGATCCCTCTTTGTCATCCTTATTAGGCACAACGAATACTTACACCCACATGTTCAGTATGAAGACGAATTTGATTTAGATTCACGTACTTCGTATATGGATATGAAAACAATTCCTTGTAGTCAAACTACAGAAAATATTGGTTCACTTGGCAGCAGTAAGTGAATCTGTTTATCTTGATATATATTTAGTATATTATTTATGCATCAGCCGTGTGCGTTGGTGGCACAGGGGTTAGGACGCTCTCCGACCATGCACATGATCCGGGGTTAGATCCCCGGCCGACACACTCCTTTACCTCGCTAAGGCAGAAATAATGCTGGTAAAGGGGCAAGTTTGGACATGGGGCTAGCAACCCTATCCTGTAAAAATAAACACTGCTACAGAAACTTCAAGCCACTAGCTTATAGCAGCCCTATGCTCCACTGGGAACGTGAAGGAAAAAAAGCCGAGTCTAAGAATTACAGCATTTTTCATGATTTATCCATATTCCACTTCATATGCTAAATCTGTTGCTGGAAGCACTTTCAAGCTTGTAACACTTCTCTTTGTTGACAAACAAACAATGATTTCAGCGAAAGGTCTCTTCCTGAAAGGAATTCTTATGTGTATAGCTGAGACACTGCGGTTGAATGTACTTCCGTATTAGTTTGTAAACTGGATGTTTCATACTGTGATGTAGTATCACTTGCTGGATGACCTTTCGAACACTATTGGTCCTCATCGGAGCATTTGTCACAATATCCGATAAATAAATTAACAAGGAATAGGAATTTCCCCCTTGTCATCTGGTGATTTTTAAACCATGCACCCAGCTCATCTTCATATGCTTGTATCTCAATAACATATATGTCTAGTGACTATAGCTCAGTTTAACTGTATGAATATGTAGGCGCTTTATCCATCATTCAGTGTTTCTTGGAAAAATGAATTTCTATGACTTTTTTCTGATCACCATTTAATTCGATCGGCGTTTTGAGAACACAACTAGTTTTTTAAGCTTTTTATAACATCTGTTTGTTTATTGTTGTGAACAGCATATATAACTGTACCCATCATCACTGTTTCATTTGTGAATTCAGTTGTGGTTCTGTTGTCTGACAGCCAAACATTAGTCTCATTCAAACATAATGGTGGGAAGCACCTCGTTTGACTGCCTTACATTTGATTAACGGATATATTGTAAGGAGGATTTCATCATAAGCTGACATCAGTTAGAGAACCACTGGAAAACTTGGGAGTACTGGACAGCTGTTTCGTCCTAGTTTGGGACTCTTAAACGGAAATATGATATTCAGTTAAGTGGTATTTGAAGTCGAGACTATGATAATATGACGTAAAGTGTGGGTTTTGACAAATCGTATGTGTACTTTTACAAAACGCAAGTAAAAGATAAGGCTTCAAACTTGGGCTTCGAATCTTTATTACTGATGGTTATGTTTAGTGGCGTGGGGCTGCTAGCCTGATCAAGAAGCAATCTCACTTTATGAAGCTTACTGCCAGCTAAACAAAGTTTAGCAGTACGTTGTCTGGGGGGTCGAACGTGAACCACGTCAGTAGTTCTTATGCAGTGTACCACTTAGTCACCTACCTATGTTACACGTACCTGTTTTGGGAGGAATAAATTACCTGAAATATTCATCAAATGATAGGTTGTACTATTGTTCACTGAAAGAGTCACAGAAAAAATTAGCCATCAGAAATAGTGCTTTTTTTTAAAAAACTTTATGGCTAGTTATCCTTATTGTTTATGTTATAATATACACCTTACAGGAAATTCATTGTTTGACTGTTGTGAATGTGATCGACGCTTTAAATCGAAAAGTGTTCTCCGCAGGCATGTTAGAGTTGTGCATGAAGGTAAGGAATTTTACATTACATTGCTTATTTTCACTTAAATCCTTTTAATTGAAATGTATTCATGTTATTCAAGTATTTTTAATTTGAGTTGTTGGAGTTCGTCACTAAATCAATACATGAGTTAGAGAGATCATTAAAAACCAGAGAGCTCTGGACAACTGTATTTCATCCTATTTAGGGGTTGTTCATCATAACTCGAACTCATTGACCCCACCAGGGATTGAAACCAGCACCTTCAGGTTATGAGACCAAGCTGATTGATCATTTACCCACTTAAGCTGGAATTCAGTTACTCGTGAATTCTAACTTTGTCAGTTGGTGATATAGTGCTACCCTCAAAAATGCCTTCTATGAGTATCAAATTCTTCTAGGCGTCATAAATTCCACTGCTCACAACTTTACAGTACAGCTTTAGAAAACCCATCCAGTGGCCGTCAATGAGATGGAGGTTTAACAGAATGGGATTTGTGAGGATTAGGATTAGTTTAATTTCAGTTATTAGATATCACAAACCAACTATAAGTATGCTCTCATATAATTAGTGATCTGGCTATACTTCTATCTTGCGTTAGTTGTTCAGCGGTAAAATGCTAACCAACCACGCATACATATATGATTTCGTGTGATTTTGGTTCACATCAAACGACATGAAATAGAATGTTTAAAATACATAGATTATTCTGTTGCTAATGCAGTATTGAACTGTGGAAATATATGAAATAATATTCCTTTGGATACATTGTCTGCATCACACCACCACATCGGTAGCAAGGCGGGTAGAGAGGGAGGGGAGGTTGGGCATGCGGCTATCAACTCCAACCCGTTAAAATGAAACCACTGTTGCTACAGAAACTCCAAAGCTCAAGCTTGAAACCCCCTATGTTCCATTCGGGAAGTAAATGAAAGAAAATTTGTAAAGAAAAATAAAAATTTCAGTATCTTAGGGATATAGAGATTTGCAAGTGAGTTAACTGCTGCACTTCGTCTAAGTGGATGGTTTTTAGTGTGCTTAGTATGAGGGAGGGCTGGTTGTTCTGATGTTGAATCCTCGTAAGATATTTGGTTTGTGGTGTTGAAGATCAATACACTAGAACAAAGCTGTTGCCTACAGCAGAACTCCGCCTAACCTTCTCTACGAAACCAATGATTCGCATAGACATGAAGAAGGATGAGCTACCACTGTTGGTCGGCATCATCAATGTCCACCCTATCAATTCACCTACTCCAACTGTGGAACTAGGTATGTCGGTCGTACGCAGTGTTTGCTATGGAAACGTATCATCGAATACTAACCCTCATGATTTTATTAAGTAGAAGGTAGGTCCACCCGTAGCTCTATTCTAGAACACCTGACCTAATCTAGACACTAAGAAAAACCAGAAAGTAACTTCAAAGTTATCTACATAATACATGGGAGTCTTGCCAAAAGAGTAGGAATCAAACTTCTTCAAACAGAAGAAAGCAGTGGCAATTCACATGTTAAATCCTGAAATCTGCGTAGAGAAGAAGAAGTTTGTTCAGTCACTAAGTCTACAGTGGACCTGACTGACCTACCTTTAACACCAAATACGTAATTTTTGTTTCTTTCTTAATTGTATAATATTTTCTTCCCCCCCTTATTACCGCCGTTGTTAACTTTTAATTTTAGTTGAGCTCTACTCAATCCTGTCAATCAGATTACGTCACTCACCTTGCTTATTTGATCTTATTTTAGTTTCCAACCCATTAACGAAATTTATTATCTAAAATTTACTTTTCTATAGTTTGGTTTGTAAGGGTTAGTTAAGTTTTTACTAGTTGATCACGGATTGATATCAGTTAGAGAACCATTGAAAGCCAACCAGCGAGTACTGGACAGCTGCTGCTGTTTCATCCTAGTTTGGGAATCATCGGTAGTACGCACCCGCTGGGATTCGAATCCAGGACCTTCCGGTTACAAGGTGAGCTCGTATACCATTCAGCCACTGGGAGCCGATTCAATGGTTCATGAATTTTAACTTCTACCAATTCGTGATGCATTTAGCGCGACCTCAACCATTCTTGTTGGTGGGACATCCATCCACACACCTGACATGTAATTGGACCTCACTGGTCACGACTTCTCACTAGAACTCCAGGAAGCTCCATCCTGTAGCAAGTCACTAACGTCTTCAAAGCCTCAGGATGGTCGGGGGTGCGTGCCTTGCGCTGCGGGTTGGCCACCCCTCCGCACACCTCTTGAAATGCTCCCATATGACCGGGCGTCTTACATAGCTTCTCCTGAGGAAGTCCTACTCACTGCCTTCACGTGGCGGAGGTGTTTCTCACCAAAGTGAGAGGGCGAAAGCGGATGCCCGGCGCTCTCCACCGGGTTGACTGTCCATTGGATGACGGTCTAGGGGAGATGGCTAAACCCTGATTCCAAACCTCCAACGACTGGCGTATGAAGCTCACTGGAGCTCACCGGCAGACGTATGGACAAAGGGCTTGTTGGATGTCCTGGAAGTCTGGCCCCATTCAAAAAGGCGTATGAACCGAACTCCGGTCACCGGCTGCCAATGGATAGTGGACTCCTTACTCCACTCCTACTGCCTTGTAGGTCACACTTGGTTGTGTAAAGGCTAGAGCTGCACTCTCAAACAAAAGGCCGAGCGATTCTGGGGACATCACTCGTACCAAATTCCCATGAAACTTCATGAACTCTCTTACAAATTGCCGCGCCTGGGCAGCGATGATTCGAGACGTTCATGAAGCCGGCTCATCCTCCCGTAGGAGATAGCCGAAGTAAAGTAAGTAAGTAAGTAAGTCACTAACGAGCACCAGATTAATTTTCTACAGTTTGGTTTGTAAGGGTTAGTTATGTTTTTAGGAGTTGAACACGGATTTATATCAGTTAGATGTCACGTGTGTGGATGGATGTCCCACCAAAGACAATGGTTAGGGCCGCGCTAAATCACGAATTGGTATACCAGTTTGCCCTGTAACCGGAAGCTCCTGGGTTCGAATCCCAGCGGGTGCGTACTGCTGATGATTCCCAAAGTAGGATGAAACAGCAGCTGTCCGGTATTCCCTGGTTGGTTTTCAATGGTTCTCTAACTGATATCAATCCGTGATCAACTCGTAAAAAAAAATCTAAAATTTACAATTCTAATGATTTTATTTTAATATAGAAAAAATCCCCATTTAGACATTTAGAAAACATAAAGATTGAGCGAAGAAATATTGACTTTTCAATTAGATCCTCAATCAAGTGGCACTGATATGTTTGTTAACAATAATTAGTCAGTGTCAAAATGTCAATGGGATGATAATTAACGAAGAAAATTAATGAATACACATAATTAAAAGGTAGAAATGTTTGCAACACATGGATTGCGTAATGCATAATTTTGAAAAAATGAAGAGTAATTAAGGAATAAGCATGTGCACAGTTTGATTACGTAACAAATCGTTAAAGAAAAATAAAACGATTCGGACAGTGATAACCTGTAACTAACGCTGAAGTAGTCAAAAGAACAATATAATTTTAGAAAGATAACGCGTAATTAAAGATGAAGTAGTCAAAAAATAATAAAATAATTTGGACAGTTATAATTTTTATAATTTTTAAAGGTTTAGGTTGAAGGAGGGCGAAGTAGTTCGGTTTATACATTCATGTAACGATGATGGCCAAGGTAAGAAAAGTTTCTGTACAAATTTCTTCTGAACACGCACAGGTTTGGCTTGTTCCTCAGGTGGATTCCTATTGGTTCAGCTGTATGCAGAAGATGAACTCGTAGAGCATCGTTACATCGTTACATGAACCCTAAACCTTTAAAAATTATTATTGTCCAAATTATTTTATTTTTTATTTATTTTGACCACTTCATCTTTAATTACGTGTTATCCTTGTAAAATTAATTTATCTTACCCATTTCTACCTTTTTAATGTGTATTGATTTTCTTCGTTAATTATCAACCCATTGACATTTTGACACTGACTAATTATTGTTAACAAACATGTCACAGTGCCACTTGATTGGTAAATTGTTGTGTATTGTAATAAAAATGCTATGGATATATATTGGATTAGAGTAGAGCCAGATAGAGATGAGGATCTAATTGAAAATATTTCTTCACTGCTCAATCTTTCTGTTTTCATTAGCTAATGACACAGTTCCTTGAGAAGTCACTATTGAAAGCAATTGAATGATTGAAATTCTAACACCTAAATAAATTTGCCTCCAAAGCCTCAGGATGGTCGGGGGTGGGTGTCTTGCGCTGCGGGTTGGCCACCCCTCCGCACACCTCTTGAAATGCTCCCATATGACCGTGCGTCTTACATAGCCTCTCCTGAGGAAGTCCTACTCACTGCCTTCACGTGGCGGAGGTGTTTCTCACTAAAGCGAGAGGGCAAAAGCGGATGCCCGGCGCTCTCCACCGGGTTGACTGTCCATTGGATGACAGTCTAGGGGAGATGGCTAAACCCTGATTCCAAACCTTCAACGACTGGCGTATGAAGCTTACCGGAGCTCACCGGCAGACGTATGGACAAAGGGCTTGTTGGATGTCCTGGATGTCTGGCCCCATTCAAAAAGGCGTATGAACCGAACTCCAGTCACCGGCTGCCAATGGATAGTGGACCCCCTACTCCACTCCTACTGCCTTGTAGGTCACACTTGGTTGTGTAAAGGCTAGAGCTGCACTCTCAAACAAAAGGCCGAGCGATGGTGGGGACATCACTCGTACCAAATTCCCAAGAAACTTCATGAACTCGTTCATGAAGCCGGCTCATCCTCCCGTAGGAGATAGCCGAAGTAAAGTAAAGTAAGTAACCTAAATAAATGACATAATGATATAAAATAATTTGTTCTACTCCTTTGCATTCCAAGTGCTGCAACATTTGGATTCTCAGTCATGATGGTATTATTATTTGACGCATTGAAGTCTGTAGCCTCATGCCTCCAGTCTTCCCTGTTTCTTTGGAGCTTTCTATCGGTTAGTAAATTTGATGAGGTTTAGAGATGCGTCATCTGGGGAAATCCCACCAGGACCACATGTTTTTGTATATTGTTGAGTTGTTGTGTGATTATTAGCGCCGTGCTCTGATGTGGTATATTTTGTTCGTGTGTGTGCATTTTTCTGTTAGTTTCGTCGAGTTGTCTATATCTGTGTGAATTTTGCGTTAGTTAGTTTGTGACTTGGTTATTTAAATGTTATTTTGGTTTGTTTGTTTGTGTGGTAGACCGAGTAAAGTGGATGGTAGTTAATGTATATTGCTGGATGACTTATGGAGGCAAGATACAGCAAGGCTGGTGGATCGGATTAATAGGATTAAAGGAGAGGGTGAGTTTCGAGTGAATAAGGAAGACATTGGCTAGGGGTCACGCTATGTCATGAATTGGCGGAAGTTAGAATTCATGGGCCATTGGATCGGGTCCCAATGGCTTAATGGTCTACGAGCTGACTTGCCTTGTAACCAGAAGGTCCTAAATTCAAACCCTGGTGGGTGCGTACTGATGAAGAGTCCCAAACTAGGATGAAACAGCAGCTGTCCAGTACTCCCTGGTTGGTTGTCAATGGTTCTTTAACTGATGTCAGCTCATGATGAAATCCTGTAACCTACCAAATCCCTACAAACCAACACTTGCATAAGAAATTCACTGACCTGGTGTTGTTGCTGACTAAAGCTGGGGCGTGGTAGTTAACTGTCGATCTATGCCATCTGACTGAATGCTTTCTCACTCATCTATGACTGATTGTGTTTCTGTGGTGAGAGACAAAGATAATGAGAGAGAGGGAGAGATGAATAATGACTAGATGGTGAGAGATAAGATACAGAGAGGTAGAGAAGAATATTTTGACGTGAATGATGCACAGTTGATGGGCGGGGTTAGCGATGAAATTATCAAGCCTGAATGATGATGAATGATGCTGACTGGAGTGGTTTTCAGCGAATGTGTTGTGTTTTGCCTTGTGTCGATATAAATGTATACATGAGAGGGCGTTTTGTGTTGTGTTGTGTATTGGTGGGTTTGATTGGCAGCATACTACCATTGAACCAAAAGAAAAAAAAGACGCATAATTTAACATAATAGATATGCGTTATAATAATTTTGATAAATTATGACAATTGAATCATTAGATTTAACTCATAAAGAACCACAGAGATTTGTTGTTTAACAACTAGTTTTAGACATTGAATTAATGTTTACAGATATGAAATAGGGTTTATTATCTAAACTTGATCAAAAAATAACTAAGCCAAAGGAGAGATCTCATAGTTTCGTAGTACTGAAAAGCTCTCAAATTTATGGAGAATCTCCTTTTTGATTGTATGGAGGATTTCACCATGAGCTGGCGTCAGTTAAAGAACCACTCGAAAACCTGGGAGTACTGGACAACCGTTTCGTCCTAGTTTGGGACTCTTCATCAGCACGCACCGACCGGGGTTCAAACCCAGGACCTTCTGGTTACAAGGTTACCTGGGGTTCTATTGGGAAGCCGTGACCAGTAAGATACAGCAGGTCGAAGATGAGGCAGTAACTCATCGAAGAAGACATTGCGAGGTGGTCGCGCTATGTCGTGAATTGGCAGAAGTTAGAATTCAAGAACCATTGGATAGGGTCCCAGTGGCGCAATGGTCTACGAGCTCGCTTGTGTTATTATCAGAAGGTCCTGGGTTCGAACCCCGGTGGGTGCGTATTGAGGAAGAGTCCCAAACTAGGATGAAACAGCTGTCCAGTACTCCCTGGTTTTCCAGTGGTTCTCTAACTGATGTCAGCTCATGGTGAAATCCTCCATACAACCAGACAAAATCCCTACAAAACCAATACTTGAAAATCTTTTTGTTTCCTGTTTAATCAGGCGACATTGTGACCTAGGGGCTGAGTTCTAGTTTTAATGGCAAAGTCATCACTCACTGGGAATGCGGGTGCATCTACATGATGAGTCCCAAGTGTGGCGAAACGCTGTCATCAGTGAAACCTGGAGATTTAGCTCATTGGCTTAACACTCTAGTTACAGCCCATACATTCAGTGTTTGAGTTCGACTCTGGTTAGTAGTATTATTGTCCCTTACACAATAAATGTGTGGCTCATAACCAGTCTGCTACACGAAAAATCTCTTTCGGGATAGCTGAGTTTAAATAACTCTAATCAGTGAAAGTTTACGATAAATAACTTTTTGCAAATTGTTTGTGTGAATGAAAGATTTCATGAATCTTCCTCCTCATCGAAACTTTCACTAGAAATAAAACACAGTTCAACGAAAAAGTCAGCTGAAAGTGGCTGGAAGTGAACAGATTCAAATAGAGATGTACTGTTGGACGACTTTGTTTTCTACTTGGATCTCAAAAACAAGCAATAATACTTTTTTTTTCTTTAGATTCCTTTGCGTTCCCAGTGGGAGATAGGTGGTTTCAAGCTTTAGCTTTGAAGTTTCAGCAGTAATGTGTTTTCTTTCCGGCTGATTGACTTGCTAGCCTCATTCTCAAACTTCCCACTTTGTCGGGTCTGTAACTGGCTAAGGAAGGTAAAGGTGTGCGTCGGTCGGGACCCGAACCCCGGACAAAGTGCACAGTCGGCCAGTGCTCTATCGCTAAACCGCTAACGTACAAATAATAAGAATAATAATACCATGTAATTCATATCTTATTAGGTGGTTATTCTTTTACAAAAGTATTGTTTTTCTATGATACGAGTACTGCTCTCTTTCATGCCATTTTTCTTGTTGTCAAGGTGTCACTTACCCTTGTGAACAATGCGGGAAATCATTTTCACGAAAATGGAATTTAAAACAACACATTAATTCTGTTCACGAACGTAAGTTTATGGGGTTTCTTTTTTGAAATAGTAAAACTTATTTGATCAATGTTTCATTAACTCCGCAGTGGATTATCTCTACCTTAGAAATACGTGTTTAGATTCTTGTTACTTGGAGGCAATCAGCCATAGGAAGCCTTGCCTGACCTAGGTTTCCTGTTAGTTGGCACTCACCAGTCGGGAAGGCATATCTGCAACTACCTCGAAGGAACTCATGTCCCTTTTGAGATTCGAACCCGCGTCACCCAGTGAATGCTGCAGTCAGAGATGTTACCACTGAACTAATAGGGCTCGTGACTGACCTCTTGTAGGACTGTATTGGATACTGTTGATTGGACACTAGCTAGTATTATTATCATTATTTCCTTTAGTTCCTTGAGGAATGTAGGGCTTCAGACGCATGTCTCCATTGCGTGTTCGGTTCTCCGCCAACGTTTCCACCTGGCTTTCTACGTCTGCCCACGTGCTTTCATCCCCTCTTCACATGACCTCCTCCATGTCACCCTTGGACGACTAGTTCGCCGCTTCCCTTTCGGGTTCCACTCGAGAGCCTGTCGTGTGATGTCACTTGATGGTTTCCTCAGAGTATGGCCAATCCATCTCCATTTCTTCCTGCCTATTTTTTTCACAATCGGTTCCTGGTTGGTTCGCTCACTACCAGAGATCCCTGTTGCTGATCTTTTCTGGCCGGCCATCTGATATTGAGTATTGAGCGAAGATAGTTGTTAATGAAGGTGTGTAGTTTGTTTGAGGTGCTCTTCATGACGCGCTAGCCAAGTCTCTGATCCGTGTAGTAAAACTGACTGACTTCACATTGGAGTTGAAAATCCGGATCTTATTTTTGATACTGAGTGTGCTGTTGGCCTCCACACAGACTTGAGAGTAATAAAAGCTAGTATCAAGCATCTAATTCTTGGTTTGATTGAGACTGAATGATATCAGTCTGGTTTATAATACGAACACCGTGCTAGTCGGATCACCATCACGGTGTATTCTGGATCGACTCAAATCGCCTTACTTAGAGGTTTCGTGATTTTTGGCACTCATCAGCAAAGTGTGTGTCTGAATTCTTGAGGAACAACGCGAGGTAACTGGCTACACTTGGAATTGTAACAAAGTGTCACGCTTATTATATAGTGATCTTCAAAGGCACTCAAAAATTCCGTGGAAGTACCTTCAGATTTAGAAATGCACTTCAGAATTTTGAGCATGTTATTTTAATAAATCTTGCCTATGTTAAACTGGTTTTATTTCAAGTCTTCGATGTTCACCTTCAGTCAAGTACTATCTGAACTTTGTCACACACACAGTTGTGAGACTAATAATCGTTGCGTATCATGATTGTAGACGCGTTATCATTCGTAAGTTTGGACTACGCACACACTTTTTCGAAATAATCAATTAGAGAGAAATATCATTGAAAAGATTTTTAGTCAGTATCTTAAAAGTGTTCTAAATTCCTCATTGATTGATTTTACTTCACAGAAATATGTAGCTATTCTGAGTTGATGTTAAATCATCGGAGGCATTTGAAAGGAAGCCATGTCTCCTCATCTAGGTTTCGTGCTTGTCAGTATTTATTAACAAGGCGCTTATCTGTAACCTTGGGGGAATTCACGTTCACTCTATGAGATAAATATTTTTAGACCTAAAGGCGGCATTCGATTCTGTCGACCGTGTGGTTCTCTGGCGATGCTTGGCTGTAAAGGGAATGACGAGAAAATACATTGCAGTGATCAAGGCACTCTACTCGTACTCATGCAACCAGATGAGGACTTACGGCGAGTTGTCGTCTGAAGTGGTGACGACTAGTGGTGTCCGTCAACGATGCCCTTAATCCCCTTCTCTACTCAACTTCATCATAGATGTACTAATGGACTTAACTCAAACTCACTTCAGAGACTCAGGGATTGACTTGCTACCAGCAAGGAATAATCTCGTTGACTTAGAATATGCAGACGATGTAGTCCTTCTAGGCGAGGACGCTGACAAAATGCAGAGTCTTCTGAACACCTTGAGCTGCAATTTACGAATGTTTGGCATGCGATTCGCTCCCGCCAAATGCAAGATGATGTTACAGGACTGGACTTCACTGACTCCTAGTTTAGAAATACGGAGTGAAGTGGTAGAGCACGTTGACCGCTTCACTTGTTTGGGAAGAACCATAAGCCGACGCCAACGGTTTGATCTCTGACGAAATCTTAGTACGGATACAGAGGGCTAGTTTCGCATATGCCAGTTTACGCCGTTTCTGGCGTAGACGTGATATCCGACTATCGACCAAAGGGCGGGTGTACTGCTCATCAGTCCGTTCCGTCCTCCTTTAAGGCTGTGAAAACTGGCCATTGAGAGTGGAAGACATGAAAAGGGAGGCTAGCTGTCTTTGATCATAGGTGCCTGCGTTCTATCTCCCGTGTGAAGTGGTGTGATAAGGTGAGCAGTATTTAAATTAGGCGTCGAGTTTTAGGTAAGGGGGGGATCAGTCGACGAGGCTGTGAAATTACGTCAACTGAGATGGTTAGGACATGTATTACGTATGCCTAGTCATCGCCTTCCTCGACAATGGACAATGTTAGCTGATATAGTGTCAGGCTGGAAAAGAGCTAGCGGCGGTCAAACCGAAACATGGCACCAGTCAATGAAATCTAAAACAGTTAGTCTAAGCCACGTAGGAAGGTGTAGACTTCCTGACTGGCTGGTTGGGGTCCTCGGGACAGTAAAACCCAATGACTGGAAACAATTGGTGATATGGCTCAAAATCGTTCTCAATGGCTGGCGCAGATGCATCCACTACTTGTGACATATGATTTCCAATAAAACTGTATTGTTTTTCGTTACTACTATTCCTTTGTCTCACACCTCTGCTTACTGTCTCTATTATGGATTTCTTCTACTCTATTCTCTTGCATTGTGTGCTACATGGAGGGAATGTGGCGACCTGAACTGCCGCACATCTGTGCAGTGTTCTATGTCGCAAACAGACAAACTCTATGCGATTAGAACGGGTGTTACTTAGTATTGCAGTTAGAGATGTCATACCATCACTCACTGAAATGCAAGCTCGTCTAACCAACGAGTCTTAAATAGGACAAGGTCTGCGTAGTTGACGATTTGGTGCGGATGAGGGTGAGTAGACTTCTGTCTCCCTCTCAAAATGCTCTGATATGGTCACATGCCTTCATCACGTTTAGCAGCAAGTAAGTCCTGTTCATCGCATTCAGGTTCAAAGGGATGTTCCTCAGAAAGGGTAAAAGGATCAATGAGAATGTCTGGCGCCTACAACCGGGCTGGTGGACATGTTAGTCTACTCAGGGGAACCAGAGAACGCTGATTCCAAACTTATGGCGAAAAAATCGAATGGCATTATTGAACCTATTTTGGACACTAGAAACTGTGGAGAGGTAGGTCCTGATGCTGTTCCACTCAGTGTCTTGTGGATCAAACTTCAAGTCAAAGAATCGGTGGCGAAGGGCGGCTGCGTAAGACAACCGTCCTTAGAGTAACTATCCCACACTTTACACAGACTATGAGATTTTGTGTGGCACTTCTTTTGGTGCCCATATCGTATCAAGTTCGTGTTTTAATAATAACACTAATTAAATGGGATGGATTTCACTGCCTAGACATCACCAACAAGCTAATGCCTGTACTCTTTTTGGAAACATATCTTGATACAAGCAACAAAAGTTCATAAAGCAAGATATAATAAATTCATCGAAGATTTCGGTAGAACTAATCTTCAGCAGGATACTCTGCATACAGGATCCTTTGCCATACGCCACTTACGCCATCTCTGACTTAGTAAATATGATATCCGGCTGACGACCAAGCGACGCATGTACTGCTCAGATGTTCCCTCTGTCCTCCTTTATGGCTGTGAGTGAGGCATGCTCGTTGGAAGCGGAAGACATGAAAAGGCTAGTCTTTTTTTATGACCTATGTGTCTTTGCTTGCACCAACACACAAAATAGTTATACGCAGTTTGAAGTGTCGAAGATTGGCGACTGGTCTTTCCTAGATTGTTAACTGAAATAAAACTTATAGGGAATTCCAACAAGTGATTCAGCAAGGAGTCTATTTTCAACGAATTTGCGTCAGGGTTTCATCGTGAACTGATATTGGCTAAAGAACTATTAGAAAACCTGAGGGTACTCAACCACTGTTTCGTCCTAGTGTTTGAGACTCTTCATCAGCACTCACCCATCAAATCCCTTTAAACCAACATTTGAATTTATACTTTCAATAAGTGAAAACCGTTTGTTCCCCGTTATGAATTTAGACAAACCAATAAGAAGTGGTAGTTTGTGTGAATCGTTTAAGTAATGCATTGGTGGGACACATTTCGAACAAATTGATCCATCACATACGGACTGCTCATATGAATAAATATGATTGGAAATAAGGAGTTAAGGGGTGAGAAAATAGACTTACTTCAAGTTAAAAGGACATATTGAAGGTCAAAATAACAATGGAGATAAATAAAACAAACAATGGAGGTAATAGTACATCTACCCTGGCTGGTATCAAAGTAACAAAGTTTACCAAGGAAGGCGTAGTGTGATAACGAATCGTTGCTTTGACCGCATAAAGGTGGTTTAAACTTTCTAATTGCCAGCTAGAGGGTTTACTTACTTACTTTACTTTACTTCGGCTATCTCCTACGGGAGGATGAGCCGGCTTCATGAACGTCTCGAATCATCGCTGCCCAGGCGCGGCAATTTGTAAAAGAGTTCATGAAGTTTCATGGGAATTTGGTACGAGTGATGTCCCCAGCATCGCTCGGCCTTTTGTTTGAGAGTGCAGCTCTAGCCTTTACACAGCCAAGTGTGACCTACAAGGCAGTAGGAGTGGAGTAAGGAGTCCACTATCCATTGGCAGCCGGTGACCGGAGTTCGGTTCATACGCCTTTTTGAATGGGGCCAGACATCCAGGACATCCAACAAGCCCTTTGTCCATACGTCTGCCGGTGAGCTCCAGTGAGCTTCATACGCCAGTCGTTG